TTATAATAATAATGATAATAATCAGCATTACTTTGTATAGCACATAACCCCGCTCTACAGCTACCTCTATATGCGCTTTACAATAAATATATTATTACCCCACCAGACCATAGAACACTCAGAAACATTTTCTGCTTCCGGGGAAGCACACAGTGCAAGCTACTGATTAAACGCTCAAACATTAACAATCTGACAAGATCTTTCACTGTCTATAGCTGGGTGCAGATGCTGGCACATGGGTTTTGTGTCTCACATACACATCTATTGCTGTCTAAAATATTCACAAAGTCAACAGTGGGTTACCTCAGAATTACGAGGGACGTCCTGAAAGTAAGTACCGTTTTAAAATAATTATAAAAGAAATAATTTTCCCAATTAAAACTATTTATTTTTCAAATACCTCATACATATGACTACTTCCCCCACATAATCACCAGAACTGTTGAGAAATTTATCGTAGCGTGGGACGAGCTTCTGAATGCCTTCATCGTAGAAAGCTGCTGCTTGCAATGTCAGCCAAATGTTGAGTCTCTCCTGTGAGATCAGCGTCTGAGTCGAAGTCCTGCCTGACCAAAAACTTTTTCAAATGCAGGAACAGATGAAAGTCACTCGGAGCTAGGTCTGGGCTGTACGATGGGTGCTTCAACTGTTCCCATCCGAAAAAGCATTCAGCGTCTTTTGCTTTGAATCACTCAATGCAGTATTTTAAGTGTGTTACAATACACATCAGAGTTGTCATCCCATTCCCCAAAATTCTACTAAAAGCACTCCTTGCCTGTCCAAAAACACTGTACACACGACTTTTTTTCCTTACGCAGCCTGCTTGAACTTTTTTGGCTGGGGCGAATCCGTATGTTTCCACTGCACCAACTTCTGCTTTGATTCGGGTGTGGAGTGGTGCAACAGCGTTGCATTCCCTGTCACAACATGAGTTAGAAAGTCATCTCCTTCGTCATTGTAACGTGTCAGGAATGTCAATGCGCTGGCAGCCCATTGATCCTTATGCACTTGTGTCAGCTGTTTGGGTAACCAACGTGAGCGCACCTTTGGTAACCCGAATGGCCAGTGACGATTTCTTGCAGAAGCGACCTTGAAATCTCAGGAAAGTTTGAAGAGAGTGAGGAAAGGTTAAAGCCTGTCTTTCTTTACCTTAGTGTCAACTTTGTTTATCAAATCATCACTGACCAAAGATGGACACTCACTCTTGGGTTCATCATGAACATCAAGATATTCAAAGAATTGCTTTTGAAAAAGCTTGACAAATTGTTAAAATGAAATATTGTGACATCAAATTTCTCAAAACCAGACATCGAGCAGAAAGAACTTTGTAGTTCTTAGGTACTAGGTAGCAAATAGGTGTATTTGTATCATTTCTGTGCTCTGCTTTATCTGAAAAGAATTAATAATTTCTCTTTTTAATTTGCTCTAGTATGTAAGTCTGCCTCAGCAGCATTAGAGGTTGGAACATCAGGAAGTCAGAGCGAACTCCGGCAGACTTCTTCAGGTCCCCAGTGTGATGTCAACAAAGAAGAAAGTGGCGGGGATGAAGGGGTCACCGAAATGCTGAAGAGCTTTGTTCTGGCCGTCCACCAAAAGTACAACGATGACACACATGTTGCAGATGCTGTTGGAAATGTGGTCTTAGTACCCAAGAGAGGGCCTGTAAAAATGACGGGTAAGCATTTCCTTGCCTCTTGTGGACCCTATTCTATTAAAAAATGTTTATGAAACATGATGAATAAATCTTCTATGAGTGGGTGGTTGGCGGATGCTCTGGTGTGTTTACTTCTTCTTTCCTATCAAACATCTATCGTCTTTATCTCTCCTCCTTTTTTTTTGGTGTTTGTTACTCTCTTATAACACCTATATTCTTCGGCACTTATATGACCTTATTGTGTTGCAAGTGCCTTAAAACACTTACTAAAACGAAAAATCTTCTGTCAAATGATATAGTGTTTGTTGCTGTGTTTAGTGTCACCTTTAGTAATGTTTCTCTTTTTCTCATGCAAATTTCTATTGGAAGGAACAATTACTTTAATTCTTTCAGTGCTTCCTGGATAAACCCTTATTGCTATCCTCGGTGGATGTTTATTGTGGAAGTGGAATATCCCCAACCAGGGCAGTGCTACTAACAAATGTCTTTAGGCCATTCCAAAATGGGGGATATTAAAAGTGCTCTTGGGGGCTCTCGTGGCCTAGAGGTTAAGGTGTTGGCCTCTCATTCAAAGGTCCCGGGTTCGAATCCGGGTTGCGACCAAACAAATTTTCTTCTCTAAAATTGTCTCCTTTCACCTCCTTTCCTGCTCTCTAGCAATGTTCTGTTGTCTGCTTTCATTTCCACTTTCTGCCCCTACCCCCTCACCTCATTTGCCCCCTCCTCTGGGCTCCTGACTTTCTGCAGCCTTTCTACTGTTACTCCTTGGCTCCTCCTTACTGCTGTCTTTCTGCCACACCCCTGATCTTCTGGTAGGAAAGATCTACACTTAGCCTTCTCGGACAAGGGCGAAAAATCTCGGAGGGCCCGTGTGCAAGTTGCGCACGTTAAAGATCCCTTGGTGGTCTAAAATCGATAAGAGTAGGCTTCGGCCGCCACCCGGGCAAAATTCAAAATTTCCTACCAACTGAAAATATTAGGTGTGTCCCGCGCGCTCATATGACCTTATGCAGTTGCGAGCGCCGTAAAACACTTTACAAAAACAAACAAACAAACAAAAGTGCTCTTATGCACAGTAGAATTGTAACTCATCAATGTCATGCTTATACTGTGCCAGAACAACATAGGGGGAACTGCTGCTTATTCTTTCTTCATCCTTACTATTGTCTTTTTCCCCTCCTGTTCTTTTGTATGTTTGTCACTCTCTTGTGATCTGCTATTTCCGGGGTGCCTTGAAAGTCGAAGCAGACTTTATGCTGTTGAGGCTAGAGAGGTGGGCAGAGTAAGCCTGATTCCCCGTTTGGACTTCTCTGTTGACATCCACCCCTTGGCACTCATTTAATGACCTTATGTAGTTGCGAGCACCGTAAAGCCTTACTAAAAAAAAAGACAGGAAGTGGAATAATCTTTTTGTCAGTATTGGGGAAAAGGCTATTTGTGATGTAACTGCCAGAACTTAAGAATCGGAAGAAAGGCTCGTGTATTGATTCGGTCAACTCAAGAGAGATTTGAATGCCCTTAACTAAATTGGTCGCTTTTAAGCACAAGGAGGTTATCCCGAAAAATGCTGTTTTGAGAAAATTGAAGGTAAAGTTTTTGCCCCTTATTCAGTTTCTTTAAAATACAAGGGGAACTTTCTCTATAACCAAACAAATATGCACGCCAATGAAACCAAACTTCTCCTATAGGTAGGGCAATGCCCACTTTTGGTGTAGGTCATGATTTGTGGAAACCCCTGCTTGTCTTAAAAGCGACCAATTAAGGTTCAATCCAAAAATAAAATACGTTTGTTTCGCTTGAGCAGAATAACAAAAACTTCTTTCATACAATAGAATTGTTCTACATACATGTATTAGAGAAAGTAGAGTAGGCCAGAAGTCATGGGTAGCTTTTCATAATTTTTTGAAGTGGTCACATTTTTAAAAAAGAGTCTTTTATAAAATACTTAAGACACTTTCTTAAAAACCCTGATAGGGGGCTCTCACGGCCTAGAGGTAAAGATATTTGCCTCTCGTTCAGTAAGTCTGGGTTTCGAATCCGAATAGGGAGGAAAAATTTTCCTCTAAAATTTCTCCTTTCACAGCCTTTCCTGCTCTCTAACAATGTTTTGTCGTCTGCTTTCTGCCCACGCCCTCTCACCTCCTTTAGCCCCCTCCTCTGGGCTTTCCGCAGCCTTTCTACTGCTTCTCCTTGGCTCCTTCTTACTGCTGTTTTTCAGCCACACCGCTGATCTTATGGTAGTTAAGATCAACACCTAGCCATCTCAGACAAGGGAGACAAATCTTGGAGATCCCGTGTGTAAGTTGCGCATATTAAAGATCCCTTGGTGGTCCAAAATCGATAAGAGTAGGCTTTGGCCGCCACCCGAGCAAATTTACTACCAACTGAAATTGTTTGGTGTGTCCTGCGCGCTCAGATGACCTTATGCTATTGCGAGCACTGTAAAACATTAAAACATTATTTTAAAAATCTAAAAACAAAATAAACCTGATATCCAAGACTGGAGGGATGATTTACTCTGTCTTCTTGAATAGTGTCTAACAAGTAAAGTAGTTATGTTTACACATTGAGGACACACAAGGTGAGGGACACTGCTATTGTGAATTTTTGCCCTCATTATGAATAAATTTCCATTGTAAATGAAGTTTGTGGATCTTTGGATTGCTCCAGTGGAGGTCTTACTATTATTCTATCCTATCCCTCTTTTGTTTTCATCTGTCTTGCTTTTTTTCTGCACTGGATGACCATTTTTTTTGTTAATTGTGTTTCTCTTTACTCTAATTGTGTGTCAATGTGTTCCCCTTAACTTTAACTCTTAATTACAAAAAATTTTTCAGCTGGATAAGGCTAAATAAAGTTGTCTCTTTTTTTTCTGTTTCATCTCGTGAACAGCATCAGGTTCCATCATGCTGCCCCGACAAGTGACCATGAGCGGCTGTGAAATCAGTGTGGCCGGAGATCCTCAACTCATCCAGCGAATGTGCCAGAAAGTTCAGGAACTTGACCTCATGGAGAACCATATCAAAAAGTGGGAGGAGGTGAGTTAGTTTAAGTAAGGATTTACGGTGCTCGCAACTGCAAAAGGTTGTATGAGCGCCAAGGGGTGGATGTCAACAGAGAAGTCAAAACGGGGAATCAGGCTTACTCTTGCTCACCACTCTAGCCTCAACAGCATAAAGTCTGCTTCTACCATCAAGGCACCCCGGAAATAGCAGTTCACAAGAGAGTGACAAACATACAAAAGAAGTAGAGGAAAATGGGGATAGTAAGCAAATTGCTTCTTTAAAATGACCAAATTTTATCTGGTCAATACCTGAGTTTGAGAAATTTGACATAAGTAAAAACTTTTGAGTTTCACAACATAACAGGCTTTTTCATAAGCATATAATTACTTAGAATAATTTTATGATTTTGATAGAGCAGATAGAGCATTTGGCTTCTGATCTCATGGTCTCAGTAACTCAAAACGGCCAAAAATGCCAGATAAAACTTTGTAATTCTGAGGCAGCAAAATGGAACTGCAGTGGACCCTGAACCAGGGAGTTAAAAAGTTGTTGGAGGATTGAATGGTATAGGCACAGAGCTATAGAAAACTATAGATTATGTTTCTCCTTTGGAGCAAGTCAAGATCTGTTGAGGGGGTGGGGGGGGGGGGGGGTACTACCTGGGCAATCTACTTCCTCTTTGTCTATTGCCCAAGCAAAGCTGTATCATGCATACTGTCAATATACAAAAGGCCATACACAGATTAGTCTAGCACTTGAGGGTAAGACAAAATGTGCCACAAAGCCTCAGGAATTTATCATGAGTGTAGCAGTTCTTCCAATATTTCATTTTCCAGACTCACATTTTTCAGACTCCTCTCATATGACCTTATGCAGTTGTTAGTGCCATAAAACACTTACCAAAAAAAAAAGACTCCTCTCCCTGGAATTTGGAGAAAAGTCAGACGCAGACAAAAACGATGTTTTGCGATGTGGATGTTTCACGCTTCGACTACGAGATGTAATAAAATGTAATCTGTCCATGACAATATTTTTAAGAACTGAATATGATTTTTTTGTTTGTTTATGAAAGATCTAAAAGGCTAGAAAATAACCACCGAAATAGAATTCTTGTTGACAAATGGGAACCTAATCAAAGACTAAAAAATACAAAATCTGTACTTGACACTGTTCTCAATCTCCGAGAAAAACATCACCTCCCTGAAAAACTAGAACCTCTGGAAAGAGTTCCCTTAACTCTCCCACCACATCTCACCATAGCAAAGCCAGAAATTAGGAAAACACTTTTGGACAAGAGCAATAAAAACACATATCCTGTGGCACTAAAATATTCTGCCCTTGAAACAATTGATTCCAATCCACCAACATGGATCCACTCATACACTGATGGATCTGCCTTTTAGGCAACAATCAACGCTGGATATGGGTCAGTGATCAACTTGACCAGTGGGATAAAAAAAGAAGTCTTTAATTCCAGCAGGTCGTTCTGCTCCAATTTCATTGCCGAGCAACAGGCTTTCACCAATACAGCAAACTATATCAACTACTTGTTTGAAATTAACCCACTTGCTACCACAGACATCGTTATCTTTACAGACAGCCTTTCAACACTACAGACACTTGAGAGTGGGACTGATGTGAACAAAGATATATTGCACTTGATTTGGAGTCTACATAATTTGATAAGTAGGCACCAAGTCAGAGTAGTCCTACAATGGATTCCTGCCCATACTGGGATATCGGGAAATGAAAGAGCTGATGCTCTAGCAAAGAAAGGAGCTAGCCTCCCTCTGCCAGAAATTCCTACTGACTACACCACCTGCTGCCAAATGATCAAGTCAAACCTCAAGAAAGACTGGATGAATGATTGGGTTACAGGTACGACAGGAAGGATGATGTATGGCCACATGAATAAACTACAGGTCAAAGATCCAATCAATGAGTTGAGGAGGGGAGATCAATCCATAATCTTCCAACTTATAACACAACATGTACCCCTCAACCAAAATCTCTACCTAATTGGCGTAAAGCTGTCTGCTGCTTGCCCACTATGGGACTACCCCTCAGAGACTGTGGAACATCATCTGTTCTTCTGTAGAAAACTAACTGATTAAAGGGATGTTTTCTTCCCAAGCTACCCCACACATCTAATTGCCTCTACTCCTCAAGACAACGATTAGAACAGACATTCAGCTATTACCGAATGGCATCATGCAGAAGAGTTAATGCTCAGATGCTACTGGATCGCTAACAACAACAACTAAAATGTATCCTATTTCAGTTTGTATTCCAAGAATTCTGTTTAAACATCCTTTTTTAGTATCTTTGTAGAACAGTTTACGTGCTTTCGGTGGTAGTTGGCAGCTGCTCTGGTGTGGTTTGCTCCTTCTTTCCTATCAGACATCTGTCGTCCTTATCTCCCTTCCTTTTTTTGTGTATATTACTCTCTTGTAACACATAATCTTATTTGACCTTATTGTGTTGCAAGTGCCATAAAACTGTTACTGTTACTAAAACAAAAAGCTTACGATCCTCTAAAAATTGCCCATATTTAACCATCGTACGTTGATGGGTGCTCTTATGCGGTTTGTATCCTTCCTATCACAGATCTATCATCCTTATCTCTTCTTTTCTTTCTGTGTTGTTCTTTTGTAACACCACTTCTAATCTAATGCATGTATATGACCTAATTGTGTTGCTAGTGCCATTAAACTCTTATTGCTTAAATTAACACCGTAAAAGAAGAAATCAAAGAATTTTCCTTTTAACACTTTCTGGTCTTCTGGCACAGTAATGTGACGGTGAAAATGATCCGTTCCGGTCACTGCGCCAGGCCCAAGAAGTCTGCTAAAGTCACTCTCCTGGCTGGGTGACCGGATGGGGGTATTGTGTACTGGTGGCTGTGTGACTGCAAAATGTTAAAGAAATTAAGAAGTTTTAGTCTCGATAATATTATGATTATGTCCTTTTTATACCATTATATGATTGAAAGCGTGATACTGTTTTGTATTTGCTGCTGGATTTGAAATTGTAGGGTGAAAGATAAAAAAAATTTGACGGAACCGTTAAGAAAGCCAGCAAGATTTCTGGATATCATTTTACTAGAATTGATGAAATGTTTAAGATCACAAGTATAAAAAAGATAAACAGCATTATAAACAACCCATCACACCCTCTTTCCACACAAATTGTAAGATCGCGCAGCGGCAGATATGTATCTCTAAAAACAAAGAAAGATACACAAAAAGTTTTTTACCATCTACATAGCTGCCACTTTTCCACTAAATAACGGACACTCCGTTTCAACTAGCTTTTCCTGCTACTTTCCTCCTTCCTCCGCTGGGCCACTCTCGTTCACAAATTGCGATAGGCCTACTTTTTTTTTTTACCCGCGGAAAACACCGAACCGGGAGAGAGACGAGAACACAGCTTACGCTTGTTCGCCTGTAGCTTTCTACTTCCGTTCTTCTGTGCCTAGCCCTAGTTTCACATTGTTTATTGTGGAGCAAAAGTGTCGATCGAGCATCAGGGCGATAGCGCACCGAGTTGTCATTGAAAACGTCAGAAATTCAAGAGAAATTGATGCGGAATGCAAAAGTAAAAGGAGCTGGAATGAGAATGAAGCAGGTAGTTTGCAACTTGAAAGTTCTCTAGAAAATTGAAGAAGCCGCTTGCTGCTCTTTGTGTTTGGTGCAATAAAGAAATCGCTCAGTACAGTGGCAAAGGTGTTGCCTCTTTGATCCAATACTGCTCTACATCGATGCACAAGTTTAAAGTGAAAGGAATCTTTTTATGAGACGCACGCTGGCAACAAACACTGGATTTTTAGTCACCGAACTGGGTGAAATGCTTGTTAATGAACTTACTGTCTTGGTTTTGGGGTGAGTTTTTTTTTCAAATACATCTTAATTCAGTAGATTTCTAGCTTATGGTTAACAAATATGACAGTTTTCCCTTCCTAAAACATAAGCTAGATGTTCCAATATATTGCCTCTGGATCTCACTGGTTTTACTCCTGCCTTTGGAGAGCACGCGTAGATCTCCGCCTTTGCGTGAATTTCCCCCTTTTTAAAAAATTCCTGAGTTGCAGCTATGCATCTTGTATAAGGCTACTGTTAGAATAAACATCAATGTGTATTGCTTTTTCGAGTATGTAAGTATATAACTCTATAGGTCTTGTAATTAAATTCCTGCATGTGTTTGAATGATGCATCTGATGTGATATGTACATTTGTCAGCTTTACTTTATAAATTCTTTTCGTATTGAATTTTAATGAAAATTTAGTTTAGATTTTTATGTTTACCTGCATGTATTTTTACGGTCCTGTGCAGCCAAGAAAAATTTCTCTCTGGGACAGTAAAGTATTATCTTATCTTACCTCGTAGAGACAAGAGTGCTGGACATGGTAACCATGTCGTGTTGTTATACAATTTCATTGGAGTTTTTTTTTTTTTTCTCGATAGGTGTTTGCTATTGTCCGGTGTATACCTCATCTGACCTTCCTCAACCTCACGAAGAACCACATTTCCTGCGACTTCCCGAATCTGGATTGTTGGACGTCGTCATGCCTTAAGCACCTGGTGCTGAACGATACGCTAGTCACGTGGGATGTTCTCATAAAACTTTTGGATGTGTTCCCGTTGTAAGTTCTCTCGCCTCAGTGAGTGGTTGGCGGGTGTTCTGGTGTGGCTTGCTCCTTCTTTCCTATCTAACATTTATCGTCCTTTCCTCTCCTCCTTTTTTTGGTGTTTTTTACTCTCTTGTAACACCTCTAATCTTTAGCACTTAAATGACCTTCTTATATTGCAAGTGCTGTAAAACTTTTACTGATACTAAACGTCTCTCATCTCTTTGATTTGTCCCAACGAGAGAAAAAAAGGGGGGGGGAGGGGTGATTGTTGGAAGTGAGTGTATGTATATATGTGTATACGTGTAAGTTAGGGTTTGTAAACAAATAAACTCGCAGTTCAAATAGCAGGGCATGCTTTTGAAAAATAAACATTTTTTTAAAGAGGATGTTGCCATCCTCTAGATATAATTGAGGATGAAGTCTGATCACTTCATGCAGTATCTCTCCCGCTTTGAACTTGGCACAAGGTGGAGGAAAGTCAGGAACAGATACTACTCTTTGATCGAAGCCAAAGGAGCAGGACATGCCTACTCCTCTAATAGTGGTATGGTTTTACAGGAGAGACAGAGTACAGTTAGTTACAAACTACCAGTTCAGTCTGTCACCACCTACGCCTGTCTTCAGCATCACAAACAACTTTACTAATGTCTCTTCATCATGCATGGTAAAGTGGAACAAAAGTAATAGTGTTTATTCACTATTCTGCTTTTTCATCGAAAAAATGCAGTGGCTTAAATTTGCTCAAAAGCTGAGGATTTTGTCCTCATTTATGTGTTTCAAGGGGATATCAACTCCTATTATATGGTGTCTGAGGAGGTCAAATTTTCAGTGGACATTCTAGCAGGCACAACGCAAAACACAAACAAACCAGACAGATTTTTTAGGTCCCAAAATTTTTTCTGTACATATTTATATTATTTTGTTTATACCACCCACATAGTGAAATTTGTACACATTGAAAAGTTTTTCACATTCTGCCAATTTCACTATGTGCTTTCCAGACTGTTCTTACTTGTCTTGCTGTTGTTTTCAGACTTGAAGAGCTACATCTCAGCGTCAACGAATTTCAGTCGGTGGATTTCTCCACGGGATCTAGTCTTTCAACTCCTCTGTTGACCTACCCCAGTCTACGCAAGCTGTTCTTCATTCGCAATAAAGTCTTTCAATGGAGTGAACTGAGCAAGCTGGGAAGTTTCTTTCCAGGTCTCCAGTTTTTGATGCTGTCCGAGACGGAAATAGAAACCACTGAGAATGGAACTGACATTCAAATGTGCTTTCCTTCTTTGAGTGTGCTCGGACTGAACAGAACGCAGCTCAAGTCTTGGGAGGATGTGGAGAAGCTGCGACATTTTCCTTCATTGACGGATGTGCGTCTCAATGGGATTCCTTTCCTAGAGGTATATGTGTACTTACCTCCTATAAAATGACAGCTTGCACTGTATGCTTCCCTGGAAGTTGAGATTGTTTAAGAATGCTGTCAGGTCTGCTGGGGTAATAATGAAGATTTTAAAGTGGATAGAGCTTGCATGAATTTGCTTGAACCATAACATATTGACGAGATCTTTCGCTGTCTAAACGGGGCTTGAGGTTGCCTGTGACTGACTCTTTAATTATCTATTTGTGGTGGCCGAATTTTGCTATTCAAAAGGCTTTTTAATGGCTTCATCGATCGACATACGGTTTTCGCCTAAAGATTCTTTAAAATATTCTCCTGATCACAACGCCGTTCGTTTTTTTCAGTTTTGAAACAGTTTTGCTGCAAAAAGCTAAATTTCTTTATTTCGCCGATCGCTTTTGCAGGCTGACGCTTCTGTCTATGCAATTTTAGAAAATCCGGTGTGGAAGTGATATTTTGCGAGGCGAATTTTGTTTTGAGAGTATAGATTTAGATCTAGACCTTCTAATTTTTTGCATCTCTCAAGATTTATAGTTCCATTCCAGTAGAGTGTAATATAGTAGGCCAATGACTTTCAGATGATGTTAATGCACCGATCATTCCTTTCATCGAAAGGGGGCCCAGCTAGTTTATTCTAAGTTTGTCTTTCACCGTTTCAGGCTTTTGATGAAAAATTTAAGCGGTGGCACACAGTAGCTCTGCTTCCGAACATCCACTTTTTGAATGGCAGTCCAGTGTTGGAGAACGAGAGAGAGGATGCGGAGAGGGCCTTCATTCGCTTGTACATGGATTCGCCTGACAAGCCTCACAGGTATTACGACAGGGGGAATGAGGATTGCAAGCTTTATGTATTGTTCTCATAAAAAGAGTTACAGTGTATTATTTGTCAAAAACATTTCTTTGTCTATAGTATATGGAGTATATGTAATAGAGGGAATGACAAAGGCAAGCTTTATTTAATAATATAATAATAATAATATATAACATTTATATAGCGCATTTCCAAAAAAAGTAGCTCAATGCGCTTTACATTGGAATACCCATTTTTCAAAAACCTTTCTTACTACTTCCTTTCTTCTCAAGCAATATACATTAATGCACACACACACATACACACACACACACACACACACATACACACACACACACACACACACACACATACACACACACACACACACACACACACACACACACACACATTTACTGTTCTCATAAAAAATTACGTTCCTTATAATCATCACCAAGTGCCAGATCTGCGAGAGACGTCGGTAATCATAGTTTTCCATTCTTTCCTTTGCTTGGATGCTCTTAAAAAAGCTGTATTACCCTGATCTTTCCCTGTCATCCATCTGTTTACGTTCTCCAAGTAGGCTGCCTCGTTTGCCTTCAATTTTGCCAGGGAGAGCTAAATGTTACAGACTTTTGTGTCTATTCTAGTGTCCCAAAAACTGCATTTGTTTTTTCCTGATTATTTTTATTAGCGAGCGGCCCACATGGGCTTCATCATGTACTGCCTCATTTGATTTCTTTTCTTTCCAAGATATTCTCAGCAACCTCTTAAGAAACCAATCTGTTGCTTCTATTTTATTCTCACTGTCTTTAGTGATTGTCCAGTCCAGCATTCACAGTCATATAGAAGGGTTGATCATACGTCCCATTTCAGAACTCTCATTTTGGTAGTCATTGAGATGTTTCTATTTTTCAGGATTGAGCTAATTTTACTGAAACTGTCCTTACCCAGTGCAATTAATTCTTAATGTTATTACTGTGGAACTTTTGACATCAGATGTTATATATATCCTAGATATGTAAACTGTTGAACTTGTTTGATCTTTTCGCATTTGCTTATATAGGATTTACTGCTGTTTTAGATAATAACTTTGCTTATAATGAGGGGGTTATGTGTGACTGAAGGAGTAATAATGGCAGACTTTATTTATTGTTCTCATAAAAAGATACAGTATATTGCTTGCCTTTAGCATAACTTGGTTGGTTATATGTGGAGGGGGGGGGGTATGTAACAAAAGGAATGAAAATGACAAACTTTATAAATTGTTTTCATATAAAAACAGTTAATTATTGTGTATTTACTCACCTATAACCTGACTTCACTTATGATATGGGTGGGGTATGGTGTACGCTGGCTTCAGAATTGGCTCGTTTTTATCGGTTGTGCGCATAATATTGGGTGAATTTATTGCTATACTTGAGGGGGGTTCAACTTGCATGAAATCAAGTACTAGTTGGGCATCAAATACAATGTCTTACATTTTACCCTGGAGATCCGAGTTCGGTTCTGGAATAGAGAGAGTTTTTATTGAGTATCTTGATGTTTCTGCTGGGATATTGTATCCCTCTCAGTCTGTGTTGGTCTTTTCAAGTACAGTCGGAGGCCGGCCTCCTAAATGATCCAAGTTGCGTTGAGAGGGTGCTGGGCTTAAAAACATGTTCATTATTTTTATTAAAATAATTTTGGTTAAAAGATCTTTGTGATAAACGACTTTTGCACACACCCACATTTAAAAATTTTTTTTTTCAAATTTTGAGAGCTGATTAAGAGTTCCTTGTGATAAATGACTTTTGCACTCACCACATTCAAAAGAAGTAAACAAATAATTTTGAGGGCTGGTTAAGACCCCAAATCCACAGGCATTTTTTGTCAGTTGCAGGCCAGGCTCATATGCGAATGAGCTTGTTTTCGTTAGTCACTGACTTCCTTTGCCTGACTACGCGATTTTCCTGCGTGCACGCTTTTTCATGAGCCGTACAGGTGACTAAGAAAGCCTCGATTCCACTCATTTTAGAAGGAAATTTGCATCTTTAAGTACATTTTTGCTTCTTCACTGCACTTTGCATTATCGATAAAGTTGTATCTCATTTTAATATGTTGTGCAATAGTAGATTTTTGCTGAAAAACAGCAAAAAAAATTAAATTAAAGCACTTGACCCACATTATTTCATTCTTGAGAGAGCTAAAAATAGGCTAAGTTAGACCTAGCCAATACCAAGGTCACCCCTCACCCGGCTCGTATGAGCTAAAATGTACGCCAGAGATAGACTCTTGCCTCTGCGTAATAAAAAAAAAGGCAGTCTTGTCTAGACCTGTACTTATGTCTCTATTGATGTCTCTATTGATCTACACACCAAAAACAATGCTGAAAATGTAAATAAATAAATATATCGCCTGTGCCTGTGCTGTCTGTTGTTCTCATAATCATAACACACTTTGCTAAAAATAGGTGGACGAGGATCTTTTTGAGTCGGTTCTACACCATGCAAAAACTTCGTACATTAGCCTGGCCTTGAAGTGTTTTTATTTTGATGGACGCATAGACTGAGGAAATTAACTAATGATTTTGAGAGCTGGTTACGTTGAGAGCTAATTAAGAGCTCCTTGTGACAAATGACTTTTGCACATGCCCACATTTTTTTAAAAAATAAAAAAATTTGAGAACTGATAAAGGGCTCCTTGTGATAAATGACTCTTGCAACTGGCACAGGTACTTTGAGCTGGAGCAGCAGCACGGGAGACTGGACCCTCTGGTCAAGGTGGAGCTGAAACCCAAGAAGAGAGTCAGGCTCTTAGTGAGTACAATTTGTGTCAGACGCAGCGGAATCAGGTGCTCGTTAATTTTTGGGCATGTGGAGATGTTGGGGTCATCAGAAAGCTTGTTCATTTGGCGGATTTGGCGGGGGGGGGGGGGGGGGGTTGTTTGATGAAAAAAAATACTCGTCTATCTTAAATAGTAGTCGAGATATTTGCAAGTGAAGGAAATGGGGTTGCCTGATTTCAGAGATAAAATTAGCGAGAAAATGGCCTCTTAAGTTCAGTGACTAACAAAGGTTGAGTGTACTTGAGACCTGCAAATTTATATATTTTGTACCTTTACTTTTTTTCCCCAGTAAAATCCACACAGAAGTGTGTTTTTTAAACTGAATATAAAAGGTGTTGAGCCGAAAAACAAAAATTTGATTTCTGTGATATCATTATTTTGGTGAGGGCCTGATTTCACCATGATGCCTCACATAAAAAAATTTTTTATCTTAGGGTGTGTGTTTGGGGGAGGGGGGAGGGGGTCTTTCTGCTTTGGGGGGGGAGGAGGTTTGTCCTGCTCCTTTTCTGCTGGTGGATTCTATTGAGGGCTGGTTTGCGTTCTAGTTTTTTCCTAGTGTTCCTTAATAGTAATAATGATGATGATAATAAAACTGCTTTTATTTAGCACATATCTATGCTCAACAGCATGCTCTACGCGCTATAACTATTATAACCCTAGCAGACCCTAGAACGGGGGCTCTCGTGGCCCAGAGGTTAAGGTGTTGGCCTCTCATTCAAAAGGTCCCGGGTTCAAATTCGGGTAGCGACCGAAAAATTTTCTTCTCTAAATTTGTCTCCTTTCACCTCATTTCCTGCTCTCTAGCAGTGTTCTGTCGTCTGTTTTCGTCTCCTGCAGCCTTTCTACTGCTACTCCTTCACTTCTTCTTACTGCTGTCTTTCAGCCACACCCCTGATCTTCTGGTAGGAAAGATCTACACCTAGCCTTCTCGGACAAGGGCGAAAAATCTCGGTGGGCCCGTTGGCAAGTTGCGCACGTTAAAGGTCCTTTGGTGGTCTAAAATCGATAAGAGTAGGCTTCAGCCGCCACCCGGGCAAAATTCAAAATTTCCTACCAACTGAAAATATTAGGTGTGTCCCGCGCGCTCATATGACCTTATGCAGTTGCGAGTGCCGTAAAACACTTTACAAAAACAAACAAAAAGACCCTAGAACTCCCAGAAACACTCTTGGCTTCCTGGAAAGCATACAGTGCAAGCTGCAGATTGCATTCACTCAAAAACTAACAAACTGAGAAAACTTTTTGTTCTCTTTTACCCACGTCTGTGGTGTAACGATTAGGCTCTGTATTGTTGAGTGCAGAAAACGTGATTCTGGTGGTTAAGCTATTCTTTTGAGTACAGTAGAACCTGCTCTAACAACCACCTGTCCAAGACAATGGCCCTAACAAATGCCCACTTCACACTTCACTCCTGGCATTTTTTAACTCTTTTGCTACACCGAGCTGTGGGCAGTGGCGCTGTGAAAGTGTCTTCCGTACGCTCCCCCCACCCCCTGCACGCGACGGCTCGAGAACCAACCTAGAATTCTAGCTTAGATTCTATTCCAATCCACATATCCATGTTAAAATAAAGGTTTTAATATAACATTGACTTTCGGGTCAAGCGTTTCCACCGAAAATGGGAAGTTTAGATTCCGTTTTGAAACGCAATTTCGTAATTTTTGTGACTTTGTTTATCGCGATGCCCGAATTATAGCCCGGACACCAGTTTTAGTACTTTTACACAACAAAATGTGTCATTATTTTGCTCACTAAAGAAATGTAGGACTCTTCTATAGAATATCGATACAATTGGACTTGAATTGAGAGAGAGAGAGAGGCTGGTATGTGAAAAGTCTTTATGACTGTTGTTTTGCACCTTCCACATGTATTTTGAACTAAGGATATGAGGTGAATTATCTTTGTTTATGTCTTATCTAATGCTGTTTTAAACTGATAACTGCCAGTATTATACTTTCTCATCATCTTTCTGTTAGAATTTATTTATTTGTGTACGCTCTCCACCAGGTGAAGGTGGAAAGTTCCTCAGGCGACCTCAAGTCTTCTGAACTGATGGACATCGATGTGAGCCAGAACATCAAGGATCTGAAGAAACTTCTCAGCAACGTCGCTGGCTGCCCCACCTCAAAGTTAACACTTTTCTACCTTGACCCCGAAGGCTACTGTGGCCTTGAACGACTCATGTCTATGGAGAGAAAGGTGCACTCGTATAAGATGAAAGACGGCGATGAGATCGTTATTGTTATTAAGGACAGTTGAAATGTGTTTTAGAAATGAGCTCATTTTCATTTGAAAGGAAGATTGAAGTCTTTTGCAGTATGAAGTCGCTGATGTTTGCAGGAAAATGTGAAATTACTTGTAAATGGTGTCATTGTTTGAAATAAGGTTGCAGTGTTCGTTTTTTATTTCTTTTCTTATGATGGAGTCATTATTGGTTGCCCGAAATGGTGAAGGTTTATTAGTAAAACAAATGAAATCATAATCAATAGCAAGGAATGTTGAAGAAATTTCTGATTTATGAACGAAGACTATTATTTACACCTAAGTTTAAAGTCAGTTTTTAGAATGATATGCTTGTTTTCAAGTGTAAGTGATATAAATTGGGTTTTGTTGGATAGAATGGTTATTGACTGTAAGAGGATTAATTCTTTTCTTTTTTTTAAGTTGAAGCATTGTTTTCTCAAACAGTAGAAATCATTTTTTGATGAACTTGTTGTTTGCATGGAAACCTGATATCTTTTTTTAAATTATGAAAGCATAATTCATTTTTCAAGGGGGCTTGAAATTTTTACTGAAGGCAGCGTTGAGCTGCATGACAGATGAGTTTCTGTTGAAAGTGAGTGTTTTGTAAGTTGTGATATTTGTTTAAGTTGAGCTTTACAGGGGTTTTGTGTTTGTGATCTTTGCTGGGGCTGTGATGAACAGAAAATTGCTGATGCTTTTAATGCTTAGCAAGATTTTTTTTTTTTTTTGCATCATAGATTATTTTGTAAGATGACGCAAACAAGCCCAAGTGCAATGAATCCTGGTTGTGTTTGCGTAGTGAAATGGGAGTATTTGTGTCATGACGTGGTGGAATCAGACGCTCGTCAATTTTTGGGCTTTTATGGGGTTATTGCGATTGAAGGAGGTCAGGGTCTCCTGGTTTCAGAGGTAAAATTAGCGAAAAAATGGGTGTCAAAGTTTGGTAACTTCCGTGGCCTGAGAGTCCGAAGAAACTGAAAATTTACATTTTTTGTGCCTTTATTCCCTTTTTTTTCAGTAAAATCTTCACAAAAATGTTTTTAAATTAACATAAAAGGTGTTGATAAAAAAAAAAAGAATTGCCCATTGGGCTAAATAATGCCAATTTCTTTGATTTCATTATTAATTGACAAGCGGCTGATTTCACCACGTTGCCTCACATGTATGTCAGACAGAGCACAGCAATTTTTGACTATGTTTTATTAATTAATGAAATGTCGCCTTCTCATTGCTTGTTGCTTTTGTGGGAAATGAAAGCTCCTGGCTTTACAAGATAGCTGGAAGTCCATGTGTTTGCCTCTGCAGGACTATGTCATACCAGAATGCTGAAGCAGAGATAATGACTACCCTAGAGATTTTTAAAGAGGGGAGAGAACTTGAGGTGATCAGCATCTCAACGATTCATTTTTTTCATAAATCACTTTACAAATTTTATCGTCACGCTCTTAAGATGAATGCCTAAGTCATTTTTTTGACATCATGAACAGACTCAGCAAGGCAAGATCTGTTCACAGATGCATGATCAACATCTGGAAGTCAGGACAGTTCAGTATACAGACCAAGTTCAAGCTGTATAACAGCTGTGTACTATCCACACTCCTATATGGATCTGAATGCTGGAGGATGACTGATCATGATCGTGCCAAGCTATCTTCTTTTCATGCAACCAGCTTACGGTAATTCCTCTGAATCCTCTGGCCCGACAAGATTTCCAACGCAGATATTTTACGGAAATGTTGGCAAGAGGTCATGACCGCCATAATAACAAGGAGTAGATGGAGATGACTGCCCTCCACTGGACAGCCAAAAGACATGGCAAGAGAGGCAGACCCAAAGTGACCTGGAAACACACAGTAGAGTCTGAAATGAAGTTCTAGAACCATTTGTGGGGGATGTTGACCGAGATGGCCCAAAACAGGCAGAGCTGAAGATCCTCTGTTGCTGCCCTAAACGCCAGATGGTGTAACGGGTAGTAAGAAACTTAAGTCATTTTTAGCCATTTTGAGAAAATTAGAATAAATTTTCTTTCGAACTATTGACTGTGTGAAATGCTTGAATTATGGTACACTCGGTTGATTTTATATTTGGATTTTTTTTGGTCCAAGTGAACTGTATTATCAAGCTGGCTCTGCTCTTCATTTCAGAACCAAAAACTCGGAACCGGTCAAAAATGACTTGGGCAATTATCTTATGAGTGTGATGTTATGCAAAAGCTCTTCTGGATCGATAACGACATTCAAAAGCTGGTAAAACTGCATGGTTGTGTGAATGGTCTGTAACTGATTTGCCCGGCAGGTTTATATTATAATAATCATTTCAGCTCTCCCAGGGAGTAGATTTTTGTTGAGGTACGTCTCAAACACCCACTTCTTTTGTTGATTTAATTATCAGGGATATGACCAGAATTCCAGAAGGAGCTGCTAAGGATTGTGAAGAGGAGAAGAATGAAGTATTCGCTTATTTTCATTTGGGGATACTGAGTCCACTGCGCTTCTATATTTGTATTATGTGTGTAACTTTGTGTGAACAGAAAGTTGGGACAGGGTTACATTTTTTGCGAAGCAAAGGATTCAAAACTTCTGTGAAGTAGTCTTCCTTGCGCTCTGTCCTGCTTTCCTTCTTAACTTGTTGAGTGTTAAGTCAATTTTTTTTCCTAGAGTAATGTTATGCTCAAAATCCCAACACCCCGCTGTGTATGTGCTGACATCTACTGGTAGGAGAATGGTAAAAGATATGGCTTTAGACATAGGTGGCAAGTGCTTGTAAGGTCCC